GGCTATAAACATTCTTGTAATTCTGTCTTTACAATACTTATTTAAACACACAGAGCCCCATAGAACAGAGATGCCATGTATAAATGTTTGCCATGTTATATCTCGTTCTCTTATGTCTGATGATGAAGTGAACTTGTCCAGAAATCTCACATTTAAAAAAAAAGTTCCTCTTTAAGATGCCACTTTTAAAAAACTTTTTGCAGTATTTTGTTTTCAGCTATAATAGAACAGGGAGTGCTATACTACCACAAAGTTTGGCCAATACAAGGGTAGTCTTAAGTAATTTCCATCTCCTGCAGGTTTACTGGGCTTTTGATTCAACACAGCTTCAGCTGGCCTAGTCTTGCCTCAGTTGGCTCTCAGTCATGTTGGCTTGTTATGTTTGCATACGATGCTATAGTTATTTTCACTCCTTTTCAGATCATTTCACTCATCACTGAGTGACAGCTGTTGGTGAATTACTCAGTGGCCTGTGTGTGCTCAAGGCCAGCTCCTAACATCTTGCAGCCTTAGGCCAAAAAACATAGCACCCTCTCTTCCTCAATCAAGGTGCATTGTACCTAAGGCCACCCAAGTTATTCAGCCACCTGAGACAAACCTACAAGCACTTATTTTCCTTGCTTCCTGGCAGTAAAAATACAAACATGATAAAAAATTTAAACGATGATTGTTTACTGTTATTTTTTATTAGACTTATATACTGTCCATCTCTAAAACATGTCTACTCTAGGTGGCTTACACAAAATGCAAAAACCCAAAGATCCAAATATAATAAATGAAAACATGAATGCATTAAAAATGAGGCCCAATTTTACTACAAAAGTCCAAGATGGGAAAAAGGAAAAAGAAGAGTTAAAGCTAAGTAATGGTGGTTGACAAGGCCTACTTTTAGAGCCAGGTCTTTAGGTTGCTCTTGAAGGCCCTCAGTGAGGGGGGCAGCCAGATTTCTGTTGGTAAGTTGTTCCAAAGATGAGGGGCCACTGGCGAGAAGGCCCGGTTTTTAGTTTTTTCCCTTCAGGCCTCTCTCCGTGTTAGGACCCTCAACAGCCCAGCCTGGTTGGAAAGGGTGGAACTAAGCAGAAGAAGGCGCTCTGCCAAGTATCGAGGCCCTAAACTGTTTAGGGCTTTGTATGTAACAGAACCTTGAAATCGATGCGGAAGTGGATAGGTAACCAGTGTAAGGCAGCCAGGATGGGGGAAAGGTGATGGAATCTCTTCACCCGTTAATAACCTGGCCGCCGTGTTCTGGACCATTAGAAGCTTCTGCATCAGTTTCAAAGGAAGTCCCACGTAGAGTGCATTACAGTTCTTGAGACTATGAGCGCATGGACAAGTGCTCCTAGTACAATTATGTACCGCTATTTCATCTCTCTCTGTCTGTCTCTCTCTCTCTCACACACACACCATCACTAGGCCTCACTCAGCCCTAATTTCAGCTGCTGCTTCCAGCCAGAAGTGGAAATCTTTGTCTCAGAGCACAAAGGGAGAAGCAAGGTTCTCCTCTGAGGCCTTGGGAATGGCTTCTCTAATCACCTCAGCCACAGAAGAACTGGTGTGTAGACCTTATATCTGTAGTCAACAAGCAGGCTCAAAGGCCTCCGTTCCTGGGGTATCAGAAATTGCTTCTGGTACCCATTCTATATAGGCCTGGTAATTACTTCTTGTTACATGGTGTCACGTTACCTCCGATTTATGGTGACCCTATGAATGCGCAATTTCCAAAATGTCCTGTCCTCAACACACCTGCTCAGCTCTTGTAAATTATTTATATTACAGGAAAATCACATAATGTTGTGGCCAACTGTTTTACTTTCAAAGTTCTTTCCCATTAAAACAATACAGCTCCCACCACCTCCTCCATTTAAAAAGAAATTCTGAGATTAGCTGGAAAAGTCCCCTTGTGCCCCTCTATAAAGAGTTGGATCAATCCTGCTATGTTTCAAGGCACACCAGCAATCCTGGTCATCACCTCAATTTATTTATTTATTTAATTTTATTTATTCATTTATTTAAAATATTTTCAACTTGCTTTTCTTCTTATAAAGGGCTCGTGGTGGTTACAACAATTAAAAGACAATATTTAGGTTAATTATGATTATAAAATATTGAAAGGATAAATTAATAGAATACAAATAAAATTAAGCAACACCAAAGTACATTCAATGTAATAATGTACAACAATCTATTTTAAAAACCTCACCCGGCAGCCATTCACTCAAGGAAAGCCTGCCTAATTTTAGATTGGCCACTTGAGGGCTCAAGGGGGCTATTTCAGGGTTTTTTAAAAATTTGACTTCTAAAAAAAATGTGGTATGGTTATGGAGCAGCTCTCCAAGGCCCAGGGAAGTTGTCCATTCCTGCATTGAAAGTTCCAAATAAAGCATTGTGACCAGAGCCAACTGAAGGCATTTTGCTACTTCAGATGGACAAGATGCTCCACCTTATTCCAACAGAAGAAGCTGTCCAGACAGGTAGTTGAATTTTAATTCACCAACAATGCAAAAGGACATTCTCCACTAGTGTAATAGAAGGCCAGGGAATAACTGTCATTTTTTGGTATACGTGCTACCAAGTTGTCCTCTGCTTATGGTGAGCACATGAATAAGTGATCTCCAAAATGACCTATCTTCAACAGCCTTGCTCAATTCTTGCGATCTCAGGCCTGGATGAAATCTAACAGTAGTAAGCCTATTGAACCAGTGGGGATTTGGTGTGATCGGGTTCAACTTGTGATAGTGGCAGTTCCCCTCTTTCTTTGTGAATAAGGACAAGAGATATATTTTCTTTAACCAGACTGTTTGTATTATGAGGAGGGCAGGGATAAACTACAACTTCAGTGGATCCAACTGGACTATTAAACATTGGCAAATTGTTCCACATAACATCTGAATCATTAACCATCACATTTTCTCTTAGTGCGGCACCATCCCAAACCTCTCTCAATCTGTTGGTTTGCGCATAGGTGTAACATGCACTGTATTATGGAGAAAGCCAGAGAGTTCCAGAAAAACATCTACTTCTATTTCATTGATTACGCAAAAGCCTTTGACTGTGTGGATCACAGCAAACTATGGCAAGTCCTTAAAGAAATGGGCGTGCCTGACCACCTTACCTATCTCCTGAGAAACATATATGTGGGACAGGAAGCAACAGTTAGAACTGGATATGGAACTGATTGGTTCAAAATTGGGAAAGGAGTACGACAAGGCTGTATATTGTCTCCCTGCTTATTTAACTTATATGCAGAATACATCCCGCGAAAGGCCGGACTGGAGGAATCCCAAGCTGGAATCAAGATTGCCGGAAGAAATATCAACAGCCTCCGATATGCAGATGATACCACTCTGATGGCAGAAAGTGAGGAGGAACTAAAGAACCTTGTAATGAGGGCGAAAGAGGAGAGTGCAAAAAACGGTCTTAAACTCAACATCAAAAAAACTAAGATCATGGCCACTGGCCCCATCACATCCTGGCAAATAGAAGGGGAAGATATGGAGGCAGTGACCGATTTTACTTTCTTGGGCTCCATGGTCACTGCAGATGGTGACGACGACGTTGTTGTTGTCCGTTTAGTCATGTCCGACTCTTCATAACCTCATGGACCAGAGCACGCCAGGCCCTCCTATCTTCCACTGCCTCCCGGAGTTGTGTCAAATTCATGTTGGTCGCTTCAATGACACTGTCCAGCCATCTCATCCTGTCGTCCCCTTCTCCTCTTGCCTTCACACTTTCCCAACATCAGGGTCTTTTCCAGGGAGTCTTCTCTTCTCATGAGATGGCCAAAGTACTGGAGCCTCAGCTTCAGGATCTCTCCTTCCAGTGAGCACTCAGGCTTGATTTCCTTTAGAATGGATAGGTTTGTTCTCCTTGCAATCCAGGGGGCTCTCAAGAGCCTCCTCCAGCACCACAATTCAAAGGCATCAATTCTTGGAACCTTTAATTTTAACGCCCAGCGGCTGCCCTACCGAGCAGGAGGAGGCTTAGGCGTGCTCGACCAGCGCCTTGCCCTGCGAGCAGGCGGTTCCGCAGGCGCGCAGCCGCCTGGAGCAGCCCCCGAGATCCCGAGCGCCTCGAGCCTGCCTCCAGCCGCGCTGAGGACGAAGGAGCTGGGGAAGGAAGAGTCTCCCCTCCCAGCTCTTTCCACCCTCCCCGAAGAGCACCCTCTGAGGGCGGTGTGGAGTTGGAGGGGGTACGTAACCCATCTTCTTTTTTCATGATCTCTGATTCATGCACATGGTTGACTCCTAAGCTAATCAAGCCAAGCAGTGCCCAAGACCCACGGCTAGATGGAGATGAAAAATCACTGCAGAAGCGGTAACGGCCCAGGGAAGCGGGAGGAGAGGGAATTCGCAAGCGAGGCGGGAAACCAGCAGTGCTGCCCAAGACTCGCGACTAGAGGGAGATGAAAAATCACTGCAGAAGCGGTAACGGCGCCGGGAAGCGGGAGGAGAGTGAATTCGCAAACGAGGCGGGAAACTTCGGGCTTCGTTCACACAGGCTTTGCTCACTCCTCCCCCTCCCGCCCTCATAACCCTCTCCTGCTGCTGCTTCGAAGCTCTGCAGGCGGAGGGGCAGCGAAGGGTCGGGTCCTCTCTTTCCAGCTGGTGCACCGAGACGGGAGCGAGCGCTGCTCCTACCCCTACCGAGGGGAGGAAGGGAAGAGCTTGGCAACGGGCTGGAGGCAATTCCCCCCTCTCTCTTTTTCTCTTGGGGGGGGAGATCCCCACGGCCGAGGGGAAGAGTGCCTTCCCTGGGACTTTTCTTTCTAGTCTTTCCGAAGGCGGTCCCTTTTCAGTTTTTTTTTGAGGGGGGAAAGGCTGCCGCCGTTGGAGAGACTTAGCAAGGTGGAATCGGGACTTAAGATTTTTTTTTTTCTCTTGGATATTTCCCCTTCTTACTCTGCGATCGGGCCTGTGTCCTTTTTTTTTAACTTTTCTATTTTGCAAGAGAGGCTTTGAGCCTCCCTCTCTCTGTGTGTGTGTCGGATCCACCTATTCTTTTTTTCTCTCTCTACATCGAGACGCCTTTCTCCGCCTCTCCGGGGATACGTAAGAGAAGATTGGCTTGCCACCCCATCAACACGCGTTGGGTTGGAGAGGAAACACACTTCTCTCCCGAGGAAGGAGTTTTCCCCCTGTTCCCAATTCCTTTTCCGACGTGTGGGCTTCCCCAGCGCTTAGGAAGACCTACCGGAAGGGGGGAACTCTTCAGCAGATCCGTCGGCTTGGCTTGCAAACTTTTTTTTCCTTCCAAACCACCTCCTTTTAGCAGCTCCACTCCAGCATGTAAAAAAAAAAAGGAAGTGCACCGCCGCGGCCGCTTTCTGTTGGGACTTGGCTCCTTGTATACCCCCAAGGGTAAGGGAAACGAGCACCAGTGATGATGATGATGATTGCTATTGTTTTTAAAAGCCTCCCCTTCAGCTGCAGCCCCTGCATCGGCGGCAGTAAACGGGGTTCTTTCTGGCTTGCTCAGAATGGCGCGCCATCTCCCCTCTGCAGCACCGGGTCCCCCCTCCCACCCCTGTTCGTGCTACCCGGAGGGTCTCCCTCGCCGCCAGCCCCTTTTTTTGGCGGGGTGGGGGGGGAATCGATCGCGGTTTGCCCGATACCTGCCTAGTTTCACGAGGTAGTTGGCTCTGGGTTTCACGGGAGAGCGGTTTGTACATGACGAATAGGAAGTTTCGTTTTGCGTCGAAGGCTGTTCCTAGGTTTTCCCTCCGGAGGAACGACCAGAGAGTGTCGCCAGGATGATTTATGATGATTCCTGTTTCCCAATATTTTACCCACATGACAGCCCTGTACGTGGAGTGGGGAAGTTAGGGCTTGATTTCTGCTTGGGGTTCCGGCTGGAGGGCAATTTCCACACACCCCAAGCCTCTTCTTGTGCCCTGTGCTTTTCTGAAGGTAACCCCTCTCTTTTCTCAACCCAGTCCAGTGTAGGTTGGTGATTTATGAGAAGCAGGCTGGTGGGGGGTGCCTTTGCCTCTGCTGGGGAAAGGGTCCCTCCTGTTCGATCTCTTTCTCCCTCTTTCCACTTGCACAGGTTGTGAGGCAAAGATCCTTCTTTCCTTCAGACAAGGGATGCTCATCAGAGAAGTCCTGCTGCTCCTTCAGTGCTGCTGGCCGTCCCTGCTGCTGCAGTGGACCCTCCATCCTATCTGGGGCTTCATTCAGGTAAAACTTCATCATTTCCTCTTCAGATTCCTTGTGTGTGAAGATTTTTGAGCACCCCTTAGCTTTCTAGTCTGGAACTAACTTGCACAGCCAAATAGTTTACTTATGGACCAAACCGGTGGGTTTTTTTAAATGGGTTGTTGTGCCTTGCTGCTTGGACTGTGTTTTGATGTTGCTTTTGTTCACTTATTTTGATTGTGGTATTGGTCAGATCCTTTTTAGTATTTGTATACTCACTGCTGTTAGCTTTAAACACTGTCTTTGAATGATGTAAATCGCCTTGGGTCATTTTTAAAGAGAAAGGCAGGGTGGAAATATTTTAAATAAAAATACATTAAAAACTGGCTGTGTTGCCCTGGAGAGCCGATCCAAGCTGGCAGTTTGGAAAGGATGCATTCAAAATCCCTCCCTGCCAAAGTTATGGCTGCAGCAAAATGCTTCTTTTTGAAGTATTGTTTAAGGATACTTTTTTGGATGATGGGCTCCAGGATCCAGCTGGAATGTCCGTTGTCTGTACTGGCCAGGGGACTCTGGGAAGTGTAGTCCAAAAATATAAGTTTTCCAAGCTCTATTAAGAGGGTAGTCAAAAACATATCCATAGGGTTTTCTTGGTGTTCAGCAGCATCATTGTGGGGCTGCTCTTGTGATTGCAGTTTATCTTCTTAGAGCTATGTAGGACACAGGATTGTTACAGGAAGGGAAACAAGCAGCTGTAGTGACTCTGAAACAGCTAAACATTCAATATGAGTTTAGCACTGCTAGGAGAATTGTGTTATTGCTGATTATAGCTATTTTGAATGGCCACTTTGTCTTAAACTTCTCATAGAGTGGTCACTGATTGAAATTTTTGGATTTCATTGCCCTTTGTATACAATTATTTCCCATCCTTATCTGTACTGATGTTTTCTTGCCAACCAGTGAAACTTCAGTCCATCCAACATATGCCTTAATAAATCTGGTAGTCTTTAAGGTCCCACACCTCCTGTTGTTTTTGCTACAGACTACTATGGCTATCGTTTGGGAATTAACATGATTTTGGCAACAGTTGTGAATAGGGAAGGTGGTGGGAAAGGAGCCCGTTAATGTCTGGATATGATCAGAACTTGTGTTTTCAATTTCTTTGAGCATAACAGTGACAAAATCCAAGCTGTTTAAATATTATCCCTTGAGGGTTTTTTTGTGGGGGGGCACAGTCACAATCGTTACTTCCCAACTGACTAATTTTAATGTCTTCCCCATTGTGCCTCAGGTTATCTGTAATGTAAAAGGCCTCCTGCTTTTCCTATTGACTTCTGGTATCAGGTTAAGTCATGCCATAATGAACAGTAGTAAAGGGTAGCTGTGTTAAGTCTGTTGCAGCAAAAACAGTGAGGAATCCTGTGGCAGTTTCGTGATTAATAAGTTTATATTTGGCATCCGCGTTTGTAGACTGTAAACCATGTGAAACTTGTATCAAATAAAACTTGTTCACTTTTAAGGTAATGCAAGGGTTAGTAAGCAAGTTAGGCTCAAATTAGATGGTGCAGATAGCATTGCTACAAATAAAAGATGCCTGTTTATTCCAGGCAAGCTTTTCCTCTCCACATGTTGCAAATTAGCTTGCTTTTGTTTTGTAATTGGTAATTAGCAGGTAGACACTGGCCTCATTTACAAAGGCATTTGCTCAGATGCAAAGCATGGGCCTGGAGAAAAGCACTGTAATAAGAGGAAAATACAAATTTTCTTTAATGTGTAGCTTGATCTTTAAAAACATAAACCACACATGTCAGCTTTAGACCCCAAACTTTTCAAGCACTTATGGAATACACTTTAGGCTATGGAAGTACGAAGGGTGTTCTTTTACCCTTAGGAAAAATATGATTTACATTATGTTTAGGCTTGCTGCCTATAGAGGAGTTTGCATGCATCTCCAGAGTATCTAAGGGCGTAATTTTATGCTCATTTGCATGGAAGGCAGTTCGGATGAACTGACTGAGGATTACTTCCAAGGAAATGCCCATAGTATTCCACTGTAAAATCCACCATAAATAAGGGAGTGGATATAAAGGGGAGCCCAAGAAGCAGTGGCACCACCATATGGCAGAGGAGATTTAAGGTAGTTGTTGGGAAATGCTTTCTGCTTGTTTCTGTGAAGCAAGATGGAGTTGCTACCCTCAGTTGCATTTTTTGTAAGAATGTTTTAATTCTGGAAATCGTGGATTTTGGTTGAAGTACTGTACTTTGTGCTACACTTGGTGATCCAGAAATGTTTCGGAGTTCTTAAGATTACGATGATCCAATGAAGAGTATCATTCAGAGGTTCACATAGTATGGCTAGACCAATGTTCTGGACCTCTTTTTCTTCAGTCATTTCTGTGTGTCTGTCATGTCTTTCCAGTACATCAATGAGTTGCTCTGGAAACTACTTAGTAGTTTAACTTAGATGTGATTTTAAGTTACATTCTCACTGGGGAGATGTAATGGTATGATGGAATGAAGGGGGTTGCAGGGTTGAAGCACTGGGACTTTCCCTGTTTATCCTGGCACTAGTCCTAATTGTAATTAAGACAGATCTTCTCAGTGACAGTATATTGTTGTGAGATATCCCTCACAGCTGTCTGTGTTTTTTATAATCTCTTTATGATGAGTGTTTGTATCTCAGAATATCCTCTTGCATCACTGAGAGCGTGATGTTAGTTGAAGACTGTCTGCACATCGTAATAATTCTAATATTTTTCTAAGTATGTACAGAGTCTTTGTATGTCTTTGTGGGAAGTCCCACAATTTGAAGCAACACAAAACTTAGCAATGTTTGTATTGCATATGTTGTGGTGATTTTTTTTTTCAAACAAATAGCTCACTTAGATTTACTGAGAAATTACATTCATCTCTGGCACAACTTGGTGTTTCTGTGAGAGAAATTATAAAAGTGATGAATCCATATATTTGCAATGGTATATACTTTTGAGCATTAATTGTACCTGTTTTTTTACATTCTAGATCCCTTCATTTACGTTTTGTTACTACATAAAAATAGATTCGTAATGTCTCCCCCCCCCAAAAAAAGCCCCCATGTCTCCCATTTCTAAATATTTTCTAAATGGTATTTGAAACACAAAAACTATAGCAATGGCTGTTGGTAATTATCTGTATTCTTTGAGAGTTACATGATTTGAATCTTTTGCCACACACTTTGAAATGAACAATACCACTGAACTTGGTGCTTGTAAAATTCAGCTTGTTCATTTGGAGCAGGATTTCATTCTTCTTGAATGTGCTGACAGGGAAGAGGGTTTTCCAAACCTCATGACTGTAGGTGGCAATGTGTGCAAAACAAGGTCTCTCCAAATAGCCTAATTTTATTAACAGTTTGGCACTGTCTGATGTGACTATAAACTCGACACCCGCTGAGTATAGGCTGAATCAGCTTTGTCGGCTATCAATTTTGATTTGCCATACAATTTGACCTTGGTAGTTATGTGCGGTGAGGACTAGCAGTCATAGTGAATGCACACAGAGGCAGTTGCAGAAGCTACAACAAAATTGTTTAAATATGAGTGACTGCAGTGAAGTTTACACAAGTACGTACCTGTAGAAAATGGGACAATAGTATTTCCATTCAGGAAGTTGCAACCATGAAGTCCTAATAAGGTGTATACATTTCTTTTGAAAGCTAATGCTTTGTTTATTACTTAGGACTGAAATAGTCATTGATAAGCTGAGTCCTGCAAGTACCAGAAAGTGCTGTTCTTTTCCTTCTGTTCTAAACTTGGCAGATTCCATGTTTTTGTTGTTGATGCTTCTTGGCTTAACTTTTTGCCTTTCATGCCTTAAGATCTGTCAGCTGTCCAACTGCAAAATTAGGCTTTCATTTTGTTGCCTGGCATACCCTTGAAACTGGCTGCTTGTGTACGGTAATTGATGCTGGGTATGTTTTAAAGGCAAATCTAATTATTTGAAAAAGATGTGTTTTTGTTTTTAAAAGCTTACATCCTCTAATCACTCTGTCCACTGCCATGACTTTACATATGCACACTTTATCCCCTGGTAGGGGATATATAAATCAATTAAACATTGAATTAAATAATTAAATTGCATTGTTTTATATTGTAGAAGTCCCCATTAATCAATCATTTATAATATTCCTTGATTGATTCAAGGGGTATATGTGTGTGTATATATTTGTATATGTGTGTATAATTTGTTCCACTGATCCTCAAAATACATAAGTACACAGAGTGAGTGCTCTAGAAGGGCTTTAATGTGATATAAACCAGAGCCTGCCCTTGTATTATGTTATCCTTAGAGGCAGATTTTGCATTATCCTTACCCAGCAGGGGTTGGCAAAATGTTGCCTTCCAGACGTTGTTGGACTGCAGTGCTCACTCGCCTTAGCCAAGATAGCCAGTAGTGAAGAATTCTGAAACGTAGGTTGACCACACGTGGAAGACTACATCTTACACAATACCTGCCATGCAGAGTTGGTGTTTTATTGGTGTGGTCTTCCATTCTACTTTAGACTCTCATGACGGAGTCACACCTATTAAAAATCAATTAAGTGGAGAAGTTTTCTGTAGGGTTTTAATTATGTTATAATACTACTCAATTCCAGTAGAGTAACTAAAAACTTTAAGATCAGTGTCATGTCATATTGTCAAGTGCTATAGCAAACAGTGCTGGAAGTATTGATTTTATTTTATGTTTTAATTCGTTGAATTATATACCACCCCGTTAGTACAATAACAGACACTAAAACCAGGCAAGGAATAGCAAAGAAAACAACAGTGAAAATCATTTACAAAAATACAAGACAAAATGATTCAGTTATCAAAATGGCAGCGGAACACTTTTGCAATAAAGTGGCAGAGCTCAAGGGAAAGAAAATTCAAACAAAGTTGCTTCCAGCGACCCCTCAGAAAAGCAGCATCTAGCAGTCTCTTCAAGGTGGACAGGGAGGGAGTCAGGTGGAGCTCAACGGCAAGCCAGTTCCAAAAGGGTGGTTTTACAGCAGAGAAGGACCA